ACTCAACCGATCCATGCATTAGGTTTTCTTAACAGTAAGAGACATTGAGGTCTATCAGCGGGTTATGAACTGTGAAATTGTTAGTGAACATATGTTTCAGTCATATCCAGCAGTCAAAGGGGGACTCAAACGGGGGGCTCTGAAGTAAGGGTTCACAGGTTTATTTACAGCAAGTGAGTACAAAGATTCAGCACAATGACTTTCATGCAGTGAGCTCTGTGGCCAGGTCAAACATGGAAGACCACCGATTCCTTCTCTCCACATGACTATTTCTTCCCAATTTTCCACACCACAGTTTCTGCACAAGAAAAGAGAGATTGATGACTAAAGGGCACAGCAGGTAAGCACAGGCGTAACACTGTAAAACTTGAGGAACCACGCTTTGCAGACACAAGCCAACAACTCAAGTGAAGGAATTCCTCCATCTTAAGTAGCAGCTGGTGATGGGTGAGAATAGACAGCTGAGTTAATTACCTTCAGGTGTGTGAAACCAGAGTGCTGGAGCTCAGGAACAGGTCTCACCCCTGAAACACAAGGCAAAGGTCTCTCTCTTACACACACTGTCAACTCGAGGGCCTGCTGGTTTTGCAGTGGGCTCTGTTGTCAGATAAAGGCAGTGTGCCACAGCTGGTCTGTGGGCCTCTCATGTTCATGCTGTGGTTGGTTCGTGAGCCAGCTGCATAGGAGTGCGAAGTTATAACATATAAAGAGCGGAAGTGAAACCAAGTGTTAAAAATAACAAAAATAAAGTGTCACTGCAGCCCATAGGCAAGTTTAGTTTTGAGCACCTGTAAAAATAATTATATTAATAATAGTAATACTTATCCATTTTAGTAGTATTATCTGACATTGTCTTCAAATGTTATATTTTTGATATGTTATATTATATAAATCAGTCACATAGATCATGTCCTCCAGCAACGTGCAGTCAACAACTTGGAGAATTGCACGGCACCGTCTACTGTGGGTGACCCCTTACCCCTCTGCCCGACGGAAAAATGTACACAGACAAACACATCTGTAGCAGCATAAAACCCACTTTAGAGTCACTTGGTGGAGTGCTGGAGAGTGCTCCCTCCAGGGACTCCATTGTTCTGCTGGGGGACTTCAATGCCCATGTGGGAAACAACAATGAGACCTAAAAGGGCATGACTGGGAGGAATGGCATGTCTGATCTTAACCCAACTGGTGTTCTGTTATTGGACTTCCGTGCTAATCACAGCGTTTTCATGACGGACACCACGTTCCAGCATATGGACACCCAAAGTTGCAGATCAGTGATCAACTTTGTTATTATATCTTCAGCCGCCATACTGGACATTTGGGTGAAGAGAGGTAGACAAATATAATGTACCCAAACATACAGTGAGTGTGCACTGCTGGCACAGATCACCTCTGGCAGAGATTCAGGAGCATTCAGAAAAAGGGTGAGGAAATAGCCCCTCCATTGCTGAATCTGCTGCAAAGAGCTGCAGCTGCAAGGTTCAATTCAATTCCGTTTTATTACAGCGGCAAATGAAAACAACAGTTGCCTCAAGGCGGTTTATACCTTAATGTAAAGACCGTAATACAGTAATACAAAGAAAACAGACAAAATTCCAACAGTCATATGACCCATTACGAGCAAGAGCTCTGGTGACGAGTACATGTGCCTTAGTCTCAGTGTTCCTGTCACTTGTTTTACTTTGACAGGCACCTGTCATGTGTGCATTATGTTCAGTTTTGCTTCCCCTGTCTCTGCCCTGATTCCCTCTTGTGTATATATCGTCTGTGTCTCCCTCCATCCAGTGTCGAGATCTCCCTCCTTTCTCTGGCTGTGTCTACTGTCTGTTTGTATTTCCCAGTTTAGGTTCCCTGTTGTTTCCTAGTTTAATGTCTTCTGTGAATCCAGGAATAAGGCTTCATTTAGAGTTCAGTTCTGTCTCTGAGAGCTGCATTTTGGGTGCAATCCTGCCTGCCAAACACAGTTTCATGACAGGGGTGTATTCTGAAGTGCTAGCAAATGAAGTGCTGCTATACTGTTCATGTAAAAAAAA